TACCTAAGTGTTTTCTGAGGTGAACTTGTAGGCACTGGTATTTGAATTTATGCAGTTAAATTTCCTGTGGTGATCATAGTTCATGTGTAGTTGCAGTATGTTCCAACAGCATTTTAAATGCTGGGAAAGACTTACAGTTAAAATCTGTTAGTCAAGTATAAAAGTGTTTTTTTGGTACCATGGTTCGTTTCAACCGGTGCAATAAACTACTGGCAGTGCAAAAAAAGGGGAAATACTTTCATCTGTGTTGAGAAGTATATGGAGATTTTGTGTGCAATTTTGGGATCTGGTGAGCTGAGTCATGTAATTGCTTCAGACTTATCTATGTTTCTAATTTTATTGTTTATGTTTAGCTGTCAAGAGTTTTCATCTTCATAACAGAGTTCTTCCTAAGACCTTACTGAAATTGCTTTTATTTCTGTCCTCTTAAACATCTGAAGTCTGCGAAAACTCCATTCTGTCACTTTTACTCATAGCTCTGAATCTGACTCATGATAATATCCCCTAAAATTAGCTTTTAATGTGGGTCAACAGCCTTGACTTTTTGTTTGATACTTTCTGCTCCACATAATGAAAGCAAATCCTGCAGATGAGCTGATATTTCCAACCACTGGTGAGACTGCCTTTAGATCTAAAACTAGTCAATTTTACACTTTTAACTCTGTGATCCCTTTACATCAGCTATTCCCAGACTGACCTGTCTTGACTTCTGTATCCTTATGAGATCTGTAAAGTCTTTGTTCTGTCTCTATTTAATTCTTTCTCGGTGTGGTTGAAGATACCTCTTAAAGAAAACTCCTTATTCTGATAGACACCCCTGACACTTCTCCCTTGAATTTAACAAGTTTCCAGATACTCTTCCTGCCTGTCAGTTTCTTGCTTTGGACCAATGCCTTTTATTCTTTCATTGTTTGATTAACCAGTGCAAGCAGTTCAATCCAAGCTTTCTGTTTGTTAGAGGGACTTTCAGACTGGTGTAAATTTTAACAACTAGTGAATCGAATGATTTTATTTCACTCGAGAGAATGCTCAAGTTTATATTTATTTAACAAACTTAGTATCCAACTCGTGCTGTGGGTAAACAAGTTAATTCATAACACAGTCTACTTTAATATGCTTATGCAGCTTTTAATTTCTCTTTTTCTCAACTATCATAGATTCATATCCGGAAATTTCTCTCTCACTAAAGCACACAATGGCAGAGATGGACTAGTGGTGGTGTGAGTCACTACCAATGTGATTACAACTGTGGTGTGGGACCCAGAAGAAGGAGAAGCATTAATTATTCCTTTTTATATTTGTCACTCATTGCATGCTGGACCTGCATTTTGTTCAATGGGGGAGATATAAAATGCATACAATATGTAAGGAAAAGCATGACTGGACAACTTTTTTTTTTTACAGTAGAACCATTTCACATAGTGAGTGATAGAGCTTGGTCTGAAGAATTTTCTTATCTTTCTATCCAACACCATTTATTTGTTTACAGCTTCTTAGATGGTACGTGGCTAAGGTTCTCATTTCTGTGTTACCTTTTTCATTCTTTCAGACAGTTAATGAGTTAGAGGTTTTCTTCACACAAATTCTGCTAAGCTTATTTTTTTCTTTCCACGTTCTGGTTCCACCAGTCTTCTCTTCAAAGCTCTGTGGAGAGCATCTCAGCTCTTTCCTGCGTTCCCTTCCTGTGTTTATTCTCAGATCTGTTCTTCAAAGAGTCTTGTCCCTGAGCACAATGTCAGAGTACAGGAATAATCTGGTACTGCCTCCAATCTGACTAAATAGGGAAGACTACTGGAACACAACAAGCATGTAGAGATGCCCTTCCAAAAAATACTCTCCCAACCTACTGCTGTGGAGATTTTCTAACCAGGGTTGCTTTTTGTAGGTGACAGATTTCTATTTTATGGACTTTTCAGTCTCCCTTTGAATTCACATGACATTTGGGTGTCTACAGCACCTTGTGACAAGCAGTGTTACAGATTAATTAGAAACTGAGTGAGCAATATTATTTTCTATTTGGAATTTCGCTGGGTCATTCTTTATATGGTGGTTCCTGTTTAAAGACGATCTTCCAGAAACTCTCTGCATCACTGGAGTTCAACTATCTTCAACTATATTTTTTTTAAAGCAACAACAACTGAGGAAAAAATACAGGAGACAAGTCCTATCACAATTGGCAGAAGCAAAAGCATGGTTATTCATACAACAAATTGCAGCTGTATCATAAATTAGACATTTTATTGTAGCAGCTATACAGAAAGCCTAAGGAGGCTAGATTTTTCTGTCATGTAGTGCATATGTTTCATATAAGTTGAAAAGAAAACGCTACATTGTTCAAAGAATTGTTGAATTGTTATAAAAATGAAAATTTCACAAGAGAAAATAAAAATCTGTACAATGTCTGACTTTATTTTCCCCATGGATGCTACAGAACTTGATTGCTAGACATGAATTCCACCAGTGCAGCCATCATAGTTCAGCTTTCATTTCTTCCCATTTTGCTTATTAGTTTGTCTACTGAGTCTTCTGTTTTCCCAGTAATATGTTCATACTCTTATGAGTCTAGGTAATTTTTCCCTTCCCTTTCTATGAACCCTCCAAGCTACATTTAATTTTCAGAACATTTCCAGAACATTTCTAATGGTGAGAAACCTGTTTATTTCTACTCTTGCTTCTGCTTATAATGTCCCCTACTATTGTAAGATATTTCAGGCCTGCTTTCTAGTGTATGCTGTTTCTCATTTCTTAAAGCCTCTAATTAATTAACTGTCTTACCATTTTCTCCACTGGGAAAAATCTTATTTCCATTATTACCAAACTAAGTTAGGAATCATTCAAAAAACTAAGCTTTGAAGTCCAGTTAAGACTATTCCTGTGAATTTTTAAAGATGGTAATAGAAGAATCAAGTCTATTATAAAAAAAAGAAAAAGGAGCAAACAATCAACAAGACAACAAAAACCATAACAAACAAACATGCAAAACCACTAGTGCATCAGACTTCACGTATCAGATTAATTTATAGGAAGGTACTTAATGAAGAGGTTTTTCAAATAAGTATAAAAAAGTATAAGAAAACCAGTGATTTCACACTGACTAGTTTGACCCTGTACTTAATTTTTTCACAACAGATTCCTCTTTTCATGGTCCTTAGTTCAGTCTCTCTTTAAAGTCATCTTTTCAATCATATAAAAAAATTCCCTTCTCAGTCCCAAAAAGTGTCTCTACAATGCATAAATACACAGATACAACATGCAAAATTTGAAAAAGTATGGAATAATATGGGAAACATAAGGGAAGTGCAGTTCACAGAGAAAAAGGACAGCATTTAATTCCTTGCATTTTAATGTTTGCATCCCCTGTGTATATAGACAGAATGGAATAGTTAGAGACAATCTCATTTGGAGTTTTTCTTTGAATCCCTTCAGCTGAAGAACTATATTCTAAAATGGCAGGCACAACAGAAGAATTATTCTAAGCTGTTTTAGCAGAGGGATTATATAAACAACAAGAGCTCTCTCTGTACTGTCTAAACACAGAGGTTCTCACGGGCTTAGTTTTTAATTTGAACTCACATTACAAACCCAATGAAGCAGACTAAATATTGCTGCTGTTACATATTAGCAGTCACTTTGTTTTATAGTATGAGACGTAGCAGGGAGCTGTAATTACATGCTCACTAGAGGGGTCAATGTGTATCATAGTAGTTAAACTGAAGTCAGAAAATTTAAACCTTCATGGGAGTCTTCACTTGGTAGAAGATATGTTTTCTGTAGGGTTGTATTCCAGTGGTATTCCAGTGGAATTTGTATCTCTGAGCTTGGAATTTTGGCTACAATTATTAATATAACTTGCTATACCTTATATATATATATATATATCACATATATATATATGTATATATCTTATAGCTTGCTTTTGTAATCAACACTGTACAGAGTACTACACTGCAGTTTTTCTTCAGGTACTTGGTGAAAAAGAATTTTTTTTCCTCCTATTTAATACCGACTAGTTTGAAATATTTGCTTTGATGTAAAAGGAAACAATTGATAATATGTGTTTGGTTTAAAAGGACAACATTGCTGGGTGGCTCATTATTGACTACTTCCTCTAGTATGATAAGTCTTTTTGAGGATGCAATAACATTTTATCTTTTTATCCAGCTTCTCAGCATCAACTATTTTACTCTATGCGATCCATTTGTTACTTAGTTATTTAATCCCTATGACAGAAGTGGAACAGACTGTGGACCTTCATTTGTTTTCTTCAACTTCTTAGACAGTGTGAACAACAAAATATTCCAGTTAAAACCTTCAAAAAAGCAGCCTTTGTACAAGAAACTTGTTAATATCAATATACAAAGAGGCAACTGGCAGGATCTAATTATGTTACTCTTATCAGGTAGCCATCACTTTCATTCTATTTTGGCAATTATATCAAAATCCTTGTATGAGCTAGTATAAAAAAATGTTTCAATAAGTTATATATTAAAAAAAATTCTTAAACTTATGTATTCTAATTGTCACCCTGCTAATTTTCCGTTTCCTCACTATGGAAGAAAGGCTAGTGTGAAATGGCTGCCACTTTGCTCTCGAAACTTCATGTATGGTGAAACAGAAAGGAAATATCACACAACCTTACTCCTGTTTTCTTTGTTGGCTTTCCAAAGGAATATAAAGGAAAAAATTTACTTCCTGAGTATGAGCTTTGTCTGTATTTGGATCTGTCTATGTACTGATGAAAACTTGCTAAAGTACCACATGCATTAAATCAAAAGCATTAAATGCAAGGGTTTACCCATAAAGGAATCATAAGTGTGAGCAACTAATCAGTTCTGGAGAGGTACTTGGTTGCCTTTGTCATTAGGTAATTTCAAGGTAGATCAGTAAAATACTATGAGGATTCTTGATCATGGGAAGAGAAAAGACTTGCTGTTAACACAGCATAAATAAACTTTCAAATACAATCTAATTTAGTAAATCCAGGAATACTTTACCATATTCTGAGAGACATATGCACAGGCTCGCTACTGAGAAACCGTAGGTTACAGCTTCCAAGCACTGCACCAGAAGCTGCTGGTGATGATACTTTTCCCTCCAGAGTCTTCAGAAGTGTTTTGAAACACCTATTGGATAAACCTCCATATAACAGTGCATGAACAGATATTATCATGACAGCTACTAATGGTATTCAGCTTTCCATGTTCTTTAAAAGTTTGTTCATATAGTTTACCTAAGTTCCACAGTAAAGATATTGTGAGGAGGATATGAAGATGCATGTTTAGCAACTGCTTTTAGTATACAATCTTAACGTTAACTGCTTTTATTTCTTTTCTAAGTATAAAAATACTTTTATCTCTATTTATAACAAAAATAAATTGGCAGGGGTATTTTTCCACATGTCAAAATTGAGCTCCTCTGCGATGTTTTAGAAGTCATGTTCTGCTCTAGAATCCTGACTGCATATTTAATAATATTTTTTAATTACTTTATAAAACTTAAATTCTTTGGTCAACAGCTTTCCTCGTTTTTTGTTTGTTTGTTTGTTTTGTTGATTTTATTTGTTTGTTTATTTGACTGTTTAATTATTGTTGTTCAAAAATAATATTACTTTACCCATAGTATGCACTTTCCTTATAATTCAATGCAGAAGAGGCTGTACAGAAAATAAATATAAAGAGATATTTACCCCTTATAACTATTATTATCATCTTATATTTGTGTAGATATAGCTTATGTTTACTTACTTTTTTAATCTCCACATTGATATTCTAAAGCTTTCATAGTTTCTGTGGTCTGTGAGCTTACATTCATATCACATGAATGAAAAAAATACTGCTGGTGTTCAAGTAGATCACCTGTAGCAGAGGGATTTACAACCTCACCCCTCTGAAGAAAAGTCACTGTTTCTTTGCCATGTAGACTCAAATTGTTAAATAAGGGCAGTGTACATTCTTTTGTGATGTTTCAATTATTAAATTACTATAAAATGGAAATCTAAACTAGATTGTGTCAAAATATAATGAGTTATGTGAAAAGACATCATATTAATTTATGACACTAATTTGTATTATTAAAGAGTTATGAAAACAATGGTGACTTGGATTGAAGTACCTCAGTAACATTTTATATCCAAGATGTTAATACAAAATTTAGCCTAAGGGCAAACTAAAATGCAGCAGTTGGAATTTAAGCTCCTTCTTCACTAAACTGCATATTTTTTTTGTTATAACTGTCTCTAAACTGAGAAAATGCATGTAATTGTTTGGAAACCTTGACTAATTAACATTGTAAATAACTTGGGACTAGTGTTAGGGGTTTTTTACCATTTGAAAACATAATTCTAAATTATGGAAAATTTTAAATGCACTATTAAGAAGAGTTACTTTCTGTATTTAGATATGTGCGTTGTTACATAAATTGGACAGAGCAGGGACTTTAACCTGACTGTTTGAAAGGTTCATGTCAGCAGTTGGATCTACCATCAACCTTGACAATTAGATAGTCAGCTGATACAACCATTATCTGCAGATTTTTTTAGAATATTTCCAGAAGCATCTTTTACTGAAGACTGCTTTCCCATATTCAGTAACATCAGCTTGATGTGATGCACATCCTAAGAGTTTTCATGGACAACAATTCATTAGGTTGAAGAAGTCCACTTCTAGTATATAATATTTTAAACTGGTCAGTTATCTGTGGTGTTCCTTCACTTAAATTTACAATCAGAGATCTAATCAGTGTATAGACGTGAAAAGGGAAATTATTAATAACTCCAGTCACTAGATTTGAGTACAGAAATATTTAAATATAAAATTACAATATGTACCAGGCCTGTTTCATTTTTATTGTAATGTTTTAGTCATTTCACGGTGAATTTCACAGTCAAGACAATAGTATTCATATATAATCAAACAACCATATGACAAACTTCATTGGCATTTTTGAGAGGATATTTATCTACTGTTTGAAAAAGGGCAAATACAAGTAGTTTATTCCAAATTAGATGCTATGTAATTGATCTCTGCTGTATGCCTGATGTATGTTTCCACTATTGAGACTTCTATGGTTGCTACCTGCTGTTCTGGTCCCTAATTATGAACACTGGTTTTTTTTCAGTTCAGCATATTACTAAAAGGTTTGAGTTCTCAGTTTTCATCTGATCTGATCTAATCTGATCTGATCTGATGTCATCTCATCTCATTTGCATATAGTACTTTTAAATCAGTATCTGAATTAGGTAATCAGTGCAGGAGCACAGTCCCTTAGATTCTTATTTTTCTGAGAATCATCCACACTAGGCCCTTTTCATTCAGAGGTGACTTCTTATTTGTTCTAGAAGAGTGCCCAGGCAGATAGTTTTCAACAAATGAACAGTTAGTTTTATCATCAGGACTACCATGGTCTTCAAGATGACTATTTATATTGTTTATTTCAACTTTTTTCCCTCTATATACTGCTACGTGGCCATTTAGCCATCTTCCTTGAACATTTATCTGTGTTGGTCCAGGCCTTCATGCCTAATCATAAGGTCTTCCTGGATGTCCTTCACTGCTGCCTCTGTGGGACAGTGATCTGCCTCTAGTACAGAAGTTTGCTCTTCACTAACTCAGGAAACCAGTTTTGCTGGTAGCCAGAATGGTACTTTGAGCTTGCCAGAGAATATGCTAAAAGACATCATGAATATGCGTTTCTCAAAAATGAACTTGCAGTTTCTTGATTCATGACTTATGATCAACAGAATTACATATGGTTAGCCAGAATTCTTGATATGAATCTATATTGAGGTTCTTTTTGCCCTTAAGATGCATCTGTAATACCTATCACTCAGTTTTTGTCCTGACCTGAACCCCAAATAGAACCTGTGATCCAAAGAAGTAAATGTATGTGTATGTTTTACAAGTTCACAATATCGAAAATTATTTCTGAGTCAGTCCATTGCAGTTGGGTTTACACACTCTGAAACAAGAAGTATTCCAGTTTCTGTGGGTATTCTAGTCTGCATATGACAGTAAAGTGCATTGTAGTCTGAGGGCTCAAAAGCTTACCATTGTGCTGAAGGTAATTGTAGGGGTAGCAATGTTGGAGTTAGGCTCATATTCCCACTATAGACAGTTCCCATGTTCCTTGACCAGTGTCTAGATAGTGGTCCTGTGAATACTCTCACTTACAGACAAAAATAGAATGAGGAAATGTGGAATGCGGTGTAGATGATCAGTGCTACGGAGTTGTCACTCTGGCTTTATTCTGTTTACACGTACAGGCATTTGTATAGGCATACCTTTAAAGATCATTGTTTTACAGGCCTATAAGGATAGGACATTGATAAAATATAGGATAAGTATTTGGTAATAAAATTGAAAACAAATAAATAGAATGGAAATGAAACAAAAAACACTAGTAAGATCTGTCATTATTAAAATAAAAAAAAAACTTAACTGTGCAAAATTTAAGATCTTTTTTTTGTTAGCATCTACAAATCATTGATGCTAAGGGTACCATTTCAGCATCAATTCACTGAATCACTTGTTTTGAAAAATTTGCCTTTCAGTTTCTAGTTCTGAGTTACTTTATTGTGTAACAATGAATAGAAATTGAGATCAACCTTGAATCCTATTTTCTTTTCCTTCCCTGTGTTACTGTCATTGTATGTTGGTTTTATGTACAACTAAGATGCAACTAAAGCATTTTTTAAGCTTGTCCAAACACAAAAGGCAAAAAAAAGTCTCTTTGAAATTCAAGTTTGATATCCAAATTACTCCTCCACTTGCACTTCCATTGTGCTCTTTCACTAGTTTCTTCTTTCTTGCTTAGACAACTCTCCATCTCTCTCGGCCCAGCTTATTGAGTGTAATATGATATCCTGCATCAAAAATGACTGCAGTAAAAACACCTTATGAACCTTAAAATTTTCAGTTCCTCTGGCATTTTACAGACATATTTGACTCAGCAATATAAACCAAAAATGTTAGAATGGCTCAATAAATTTCTTCCTCTTTCTTTTGCGGATTATTGTATTGGCTTACTAATGTCTGAGTGTGGAAACTTTAGGTTACAATGCTAAAAAATTTGACTGTCAAAACATTTTCGTGAGTCAGAAGTTCTTTTCTTCGAGCACAGTTTTTTCAGTTCTAAATACAGCCAAAATATGCACTATGCATATCCAGTAGTTTTGCTAGTTAAAATCAATAATATATAGCTCTAAACTACTTAGAGGGAATCTGAAGTAATCATATGTAGATAATACTTTAAATATAATGGAGCTATTTTAAGCCCTTGGATCAGGTAATTCTACCACTATATTAATGTGAGATGATGAAGTAAAAATTGATTTACAACATCCTTCTTAATGGAAACAAATCCAGTAGCATGTATTTTATCTGTTTTTAATCTCTTTGTCCCCCTGCTAAGTTGATTGATCTTAACCCAGTTCAAACTCATTGTTTGTATTAACTGTCTGTTTCAAGACCATGGAATATGGTGCATGGCCAGAATTTTTACCTGGATTGGTGAAACTCACCTCTTTTTTTCCAAAATAGAAGAATGAAACTGTTGTAATACATTTTTATATGTTATCACAATTGCAAACTCTGATCATAAGGGGTTTTCTTTATGTGCAATATGAGAAGAAAAAAAGGAAACTGTAAAGTATAAGATTCAAATTTATCATAAAGCTGTGACCAGAAGGTTGATACAAAATCTTCATAGTTATTGATTTCTTTTGGGACTTTTTATATGTAAAGAAAGAGCATTTTTGAAACTGTGGAAACAATTTGGTTTTATGTGGCTAGAAATTCCACATTTTCTAGAACTTTTAGGTTAGGATTTTGTACTGCTGTATTGTTCAGCATAAGCTCCCCTCCTGAACATGCTGTGTATGCAAGCCTCTGTTCACACTATTATAAGCAGGCAGACAGAGACAGGTTTATAAACATGTTGAAATGGCAGACTTTTTGTTCAAGCTATAACACAGACAGAAGTGCACTTGTTTGTATGATACATACTACAGAAAGAAGCCTTGTTCATGTGCACATGCACATTCAGTATTTTAAATAGAGCTAAACAGTTATTTAATTAACTTAAAAAGTAATTATGTGCTTCAAACTCCCTACAGAAAAGGAATGTCTGCTATAGTCTACCCTAAAAATTGACTTTTTGAGACACAGGGGCACATGCTTGACTCTCAGTTATAGGTGTCTTCTGACTCTTTTGATGACAGATTAGCTTCTTGGATTTTGTTCTCTTTTTCCTTCTTCCCTTCCATCTCCCCAGAGCTACTTAGTCTGGGTGTACAGGGGAGAAGGTAGCAAAGATTTTGATATTAGATACCTCTGCAATATTTGAGATGACAGAAGTCTCCTTCCACTGTGTTCAGTTTGATTCTAATTATGATCTGACATCCTGAAACAGAGATGTCATTAGAACAGTTCTACTGAAAATAAGTAAAAAGTAATGAAAGTAATTCTATGATCATTATTCTATGATCACTGTAACTTCAGCAGTTAGCTGATAGGAGTATCTAATTTTTCTCATTGCTAGAGAATAATACTCTATGTGTATCTCTAAGCGAAGTATTTTTTTCTATTTATCAATGTGCTTTGTAATTCATAGTCGTAGAGAATCTAAGTTTTGTCTATAATGGAAGAATTGAACATGAGACCTATAAGACAAGAATGGCATGCTAAATTCTCTGCGCACTCTTTCACTGAAACTGCATGCAAACTTTGAGTTAGATCTCCCAAGTAGTGGCTGATTTTTCATGAAGACTAATTTGAAAACAGTACCTTACTGCTTTTACCACTATATAAATACCTAGAAAGATATTCTCACTGCTGTAAAAAAATTACAATTTGATGACAGACAGAGATGAAGTAGATAAGGTTATGAACAATAGGATGACTGAATTGGGAGGGGTATATTTAACAAGATTACTTATTACACAGTTTATGTTTATTGAAAGCTGAGAACCAGTCATTTAAGGATTTTTAGAAACAGGATTTTTAGAATCAGGATCACTAATGTGTGTGTTTCTGTGAGCTTTTACAAGAGTGAAAAGCAATAGATATTCTAGGAGTTACAGTGAAAAGGAAGGTCACCAAATCTTTCCCCTGCTTTTTTTTTGGAAGTTTTGGATAGTGGATTCTTAATATTATTTTATTTTCATGACATGGAAATTCTGAGGTATGAAAATAATCTATCAACTTGAAGAAAAGGATGAGTGAACTACTCTCCCCAAGTCCTGGAGAGGCTGTTTTACTTGAGGATTTTACTGTATATGCCTTCTTGTTTACCTAAGCCTGTACAATGCCATAAGTCTTTGTCTTAGTTCTGCCTAATCCCTAGAATCTTCTTACATTGTATAAAGTATAAGTATGAGTATACTATTTATACTGAATGAGTATACTATTTAAAATTTATAATTCTCTGGAAACAAGAAAAAAACTTTAAAAAAAAAATCTGAAATATGTTCCTCTTTTGTTTTATATGACTCATACAATAATTTTCCCTTCCAGTAGGCTAGGGAAAAAAAGTAAAATTTGATTGCTAGATAGAAACCCAAAACAGTAAAAAAATGGATTTTATCCTCTGACAATATATTATATCTCTGAAAATATCTGAGTGCTGGAAATATCTGAGTACATCTGCAGGTTGTCTTTGATACAGGAAAATCAATTTGGAAAGGTGCTCAACACTTCTACAACTGGAACATCAAACCTGAACAGCTATTGATTCTCTCAGAGATTAGACTATCACTCCAAAATGAGAAAACCGTTTTTGTCTTTTCATGTCCCATAGTTATTTGGTGTTCATTCCCCTTGCAACAACCCAGAACGCTCTTTAGGGATTTCGTACTGGGTTAGCCAGGATAGCTCTGATATCTGGCACAGAGGACAAGTCTTCCAAGAGTTTTTAAGAACTTTAAAGATATGCGGGGTTAGCATTTCTTTTTGTTTGTTTTTTTTTCCTCTTTTATTTTGGGGGATGGTGGTGGTTTTTTTCCTATTTGAAAATCTTATTTAAAGGAAAAAGAAAGCGTATAACTTAGTTCTGATCCACTTGCTGATCTTAATGCAATATGTTAGCTCATTAGTATTATGATAGTTGCTTTTGTCAGTACTTATACACATGAAAAAAGTTCCACAGTACTGTTTGACTATTCTACGCTCAGCATGTCTCTTTTAGAAGTGACCTTGAACAAAACCAATACCTCTGATGTACCTTTGTGTAAAAGCATCAATGCAGATAAAACATAGAAACAATAAGCAAAAAGGTAGCCAGTAATACAGATTAAAAAATCAATAATAAGAATCTGCATTTTATCTAGTATTTGTCTCTCTCTGTATAATCTACTCACAATTGAATAGCTGGAGGATTCTAACATTCCTTTTATTTTTTTCACTATTTTTACTTGATAATCAGTTATTGCTTGGATTTTCTATGTTATTAAATAGTATTGATATAATTGAATGTAAATAGTCAACAGACTAACATAAAGCAAATGATTTTATATTTAGCTTAAAGTATAAAAAGTCCTACTCATTTAGAAATATTGAGTTGATCAACCTAACTTGCTGCATGTCAGAAGTCAAACATAGACAAACCTATTTTCTTTGCTGCTATCTAGTAGGCAAATGTTAGAGTTAATGCATTTCATACAGGTTTCCCAGCAAATACATTTTATCTCAGTGCTAAATTTTAGAAGTGTACTTTGGGTAAACACATCACTTTTAGTGATAGTACCGTTTTATGGCTCAGTTTGGATGTGATAGAACCTTTCTTTCATAGAGGAACCATGATTTACAGCATTTTCATGCATTTATTTTAATGACTACTTTTAAAATGTTGCAACATGTTTTGTATTCATGAATATTTTGCATGGATTTATGTAGATTAACACTAGTATAGGAGAAATAAATATGTTTTATTTTTTTATACTTTACACATCACACTGTAAAATTGTTGAGGCAAGATAGTTCTGTGTTTTGCTAAGCAGAGCAGCTTAGGCATTTCTATCTGTAACTTGACTTAGCAGGGATTTTTAAGACACTAAAAAATAACTAGATGTTGGACCAGATGACCCACAGTGGTCGCTTCCAACTTTACCTATTCTATGATTCTGTGAATTTTAAGATACTAATTAACCTTGCCATTTTTATTCCAATGTGCTGAAATTCTTTCTTAAAACATTTCAGTCATCCAAGGCTTTTAGCTCACTGAAGTGGAAATTTTTGAGTTTATGATCATAGGGATATTTTCAAAGTCAAGCAACAAGTAAAATTTGAAATTGAATTCTTTATTTACACTTGCATTTTTTGTTAGAGTGGTATTTAGCAAAACTGAAGAATAAATATTAGAAAGGATAAATTGAATCCACTGTGTGATTTTTCCTCAAAGTTTAAATGCTAAATACAAACTTTCATTATTTATCTCTGGCTTTGAGGGCTCCAAGTGATTTTAAGTTTGAAATTCTGGTGTTTAAAGTAATGTTACTGGCTAACAACATTCTGTTTCTAAAGGATAAACCTCCAGTGTTGTGTACATGGACTTACTATAACAGTACTCTGTTTGATAGAAACACACTTATAATCAAATCAGAGACAATAGAAGTAGTTATGTCAGGGTGCTTCTGCCCTTGCTACTAAATAGACAGCTTTTACAATCAGCAAACAATGCAGTGCGTGATACTGGCCTTAGTATTGTTCTCATCTTTAAAAGTATTTACTAAATTTTTATAAGTTCGTTGAGTAAATGTGTCTGGTGACTTCTGTTAACTTCTGTACATGGTTGTGCCATTCAAAGCTGTTCCTGCCTCATAGCTCCTGGTTTCCCCATATCATCTGGATGTTAACACAACCCATGTAACTGCACTTTAGCCACTTTGAAACAACTACTATTAACTACTCAACTGCTTAATCTAATACGGCCAACTTCACAGGAACCAGATAAATGGTGACTGCATAGTGCTTCTTGTGTGCCCTCTTTGCAGCTGATTCCTGCTTGCAACCGATTCTGAAGTGAATATTCGGCAATTGTCCAAGATATTTGCTAACTTCACTAGCTGTGATTTAATCTTTTCTTTTAGCTAGGTTCTTAGCACTTGCTTACAGATAGGAATATATTAGAGAGATAGAGTTCTGATTTGGAAAATAATATGATGTCTTATTAAATTAATATGAATAGTTAAAACATTTTCAGAACACTTAAACAGTTTCTCTTGTCCTGTAATTTAATTTTGCTACTTTTAAAAAAGTCACCTAAGAGTTTAATTGTGATGAGATCAAATCTGATCATCCAAGTAGTGGAGCAAGCTGATGTCACATTTCTACGCATAAAAAATCTGAGGTTTGTGTGTGATATGGTTTGAAGCTGGCTCCCTGACAAGTCTCCAAACCTTACCACAAGAATTCCCGCCCCAAACCTCAGACAGAAGAGGGAAAAAAACAGCCAAGAAAACCGAAACAAGAGAGAAACAGCTAAAGCAATATATATATAAATATTTACACTTATATTACAGTTTATACAATTGAAATATATATACAATTTCACAAGGAAAAGGGAAAGGGAAGGGGGAAAGGAAAAAAAGGAACAAAATCGAAATAAAATATATATATATATCCCGATCAATAGCCCAAGATCTAGCAATTAAAAGAATTAGCAAAGAATATCTTACTTCTCTCCTTGGGACAACAGAAAGTCGTTCTGGAACGATCGCCAGCAACCTCCACCTCCCAAGGTCGACAAGGTCTTATCAGGTCTCACTTCCCAACCCGACAGTCTCAACAGCAGGGAACCTGCCCCTCCAAAGCAACCAAAAGGAAAGAGACCGAAGGCCTCTCCTCCTTTCTTCTTATAGTCTGGCTTACGTAAAAATCGTAGCAAATACTGGGTAAATCTGGGCACCTCCTTGGTTACAAACTAGTCACCAAGGAAGGCCTAGACCAAACTACCACAGTGTGTGATTAATATTGCAGGTATTAGAGAAAGGTAGAAGTGAATTAAATTTTGAAACTAACGAGGAATAGACAAAAACTGAAACCACTTTCTGAGTAGAAAATTGAGGGAATTTTAGCTCACTTGAAACTTCAGAAGAAACAGTCAGATGAATGGGTAAAATACTGTGGGCTATAAAAAGAAAGGATCGCATTTTGGAAGGAAGACTAGGAAAAATAAAGCACGACTGAAGATTCTATAAGGCAGATATTTAAGAGAAGATATCTTAGAGATCTTATTTATTTGTGTAGGTTTTTTGATAGAGCATTTAGAAAAGATTTTTGATTATGTATGTCAAACTTAAACAGTTCCCTTATGCTCGTTACTTAATAGCTGACTTTGACAAAAAGTCCATTAAAAATTAAATAATCATGCATACTGTCACATGCGATTGGAACTGGACGTGTTCCCTGAAGCTTTGTGTTCCCTCAGAGGTTGAATAAAAGAGGTCCTCTTCCTCTGAATTTAAGATCTGACTTAACTCTGAGAAGTATGGCAGACTTAGAATAAAACTTTGTGTAGCAGTCTTGTACAAATCAAGAGCTCCCCAGAATTAAAAGTTTTGTAAGTGCAGGGCAGTAGCAAGTCTGGATCAATTATCCACCTGGGCTGAATTACGTTGGAAGATGGTTGTGCAGGAAAAGAAAATCAGTATTTTAAGTGAATCAAGTCTATACAATATTGAACAAAGAAACTCAGAAAGTGTTTGCAATTCTTTGGACTTTTCCATTGAAGATCAAGGATCACATTCCTTCAGAATGTGTAACTGGACAAGTAAACTACATGATATGTCCATAATCATTCTCATCAATACACATAGTAGACTTAGAAAAGCTAAATACCATTCTAATAATTCCTAATGTGTCTGTTTTATTCAGTTATTCTTCCAAGTAAGTAAATCCTGCATGTGAGGTGAAAGAAAGCAGAATGTTCCTCTACAAACACTTTTCCAAAACTACTGTTCACTGGAGAAAGAAAACAAAGAAATTACTTGATCTCGTTCCCTACCTGTGAACACAGTACAGATTAGAAAACATAAACATGTGGTAAAGTGTGTGAGGTCTTTAGGAGATCACTAGTTCTGTCATCCAGTGAGATAAATGAAACTTGGGGATTTTTGATTAGGTTATGTTCTGGTAGAAGCTGGAAGAATTCACTATGATCCACGCTACCTAGTAGTAGGTTTCACTATACTGAATAATTCTGATAAGCATCAAGTAAACATCAAAAATGTTATTACTAAACAAATATTAATTCTGATGGTAGCAAAAATGTGGAACATCCTCATTTATTTCAATTTTATCCAATGTTCTACTAGGAAAATACGTGGGGTTTTCATCATCTTTTTCTATCCTGAAGAAATGTCTTGATGGTGCATTGATTCTCTAGAAAACAGAGACATCTGTCTTCTTTTAGTATTAAGGCCTGGCAAATACCAGAAGAACTAATTCTTTTTGAAAGTTGTAAATTTAAAGCAAAAGCAAATCTGTTTTGTTAAACTTTGCATTATTTTGCACCGTAAAATCAATGATATGGTCACTTTTTTTGGTAGAAGACTAACAAAATCATTTAATAGAATCATAGAATATCTTGAGTTGGAAGGAACCCACAAGGATCATTGAGTTCAACTCCTGGCCCTGCACAGGACAACCTCAAGAGTCAAACCATGTGCCTCAGAGCCTTGTCCAGATGCTTCTTGAACTGTGTCAATCTTGGTGCTGTGACCACTTCCCTGGGGAGCCTGTTCCAGTGCCCAGCCACCCCCTGGGTGAAAAACCCTTCTTACACATTTAAATTTTATCATATAGTCTTATGATACTACTGCAAAACATTGTGCAGATAAAGATTTTCTATGTAAAGATAAAACACAGAGGGTTTACTGCATACTCTGGAGTGAAAACATTCATCTCTAGGAAAAAACAAAAAGTGAGGTTTTAGAAAAATGATGCAATCTTTCTTTTAGCTACCTGTCTTTTTAAATCTAGCAATGAAGGAGTTTTTCCCATTGAATCAAGACTTTAGCATAGCACATTAGAAGATGTCTATCCCTGTTTCTTAAGTAGGGTAAACCAGAAGGGTTTGTATTATGCATATTTCTCTTCATGTGCAAAGAGGATCAAAGACATTTTTTGAAAATGTTGCTTTTAGAAAATGCTGACTTGCAGTAAGAAAATCAATATCTTTTCCTTGGGAAGTTGAACTTCTAGCTTAGAAAAAAAAAAAGAACAACAAACCAAACCAAACCAAACCAAATAAACAAACAAAAAAACTGGCTCAGCTTTTCACTTTGCAACTTCAACATTTGTGAAAATTTATTTTGAAGTGAGCGGTAACCCGTTGTGTTTCTGCTGAGATACACTCTATACTTGTCGCTGCAAAACAGCTGCATTGTTAGAAATACAATGTAGAATTTTACTGTTGTTCTTCACCTGGAGAAAACGTTAGGAAGTCCTTAATCAACATTCATAAGTGAAGATGAGACTTTTAAATTGGGCTTTCTTGCCTTGCCAGATATATTGTTTATCAAGTAAGGAATAGCGAGTGCCATCAGAATGAGCTGCAGCACTGCATGGGATGAATGGTATGAAGGTCATTAATTTCAAGCCTGTCATAAAAAACTCTTCTATAAACACTGTGTATATTTCAGAAGCACCTATTTTTTTTTTTTTATTCTTGAAAGCTCTAACACTAAAAAATACTCTCTTCTTTCACAAGTTTTCAGAGCATTTCCTGATTCAAGAGCCTGTCCAGAAGAGTATCTTTGTAGGACTGGGGATTTCATCACCTGGATTCTCATCCTGTGTATTACAGGAGTTGATGAATGACACTGGAAGGGTGACTGCAGCCCTGGGTGAGCTCTCCAAAGAGCTTACAGAAGGTTATTCGTTGAGAACAGGTGTACTGGATCTCATTGGGATGTAGATCATTTTCTTCATAGCAGCTTGTAGGGTGCTATGTTTTGGATCTGTGACCAAAACAACATTGGTAACACACCAGTGTTTTAGCTACTGCTGAACAGTACTTGGGCAACTTCAAGGACTTCTCTGTTTCTCACTATGGCCCCACCAGCCAGCAGGCTGGGTGTAATGAGCCTGGAAGGTGACAAAACGGGGACAGCTGACCCAAGTTTACCACAGAAATAGTCTGTAATATATAAGGTCTTGCTCAGCAATGAAATTGGAGTGGGAAGTTTTTGCAAAATAGCCATTTGCTTGAGGACTGGTCAGCATCAGTCTGCTGGTGGTAAGTGATTGCTTTTGCGTCATCTGAGGTTTTTTACTTTTTTCCCTTTTATATATTAAACAGTATCTTGACCCACAAGTTCTCTCATGTTTGCCTTTCTCATTCTCTCCTCTACACGCTGAGGGAGAGTGAGTGAGTGAGTGAGTGAGTGAGTGAGTGAGTGAGTGAGTGAGTGAGTGAGTGAGTGAATTCATGAGTGGCTGAGTGGGGACTTATTTGCACCTCTACCTCTTATTCAGCATGTTTTCTTTTAGCACTAGGATTATGCTTGTCTTTCTGTGAAGTGGCACAAACAAAGAACTGGAGAATGATTTTGCATTTTAGAGGACTTTTCTGCAACTGGAAGTGGATTGAGATTCATGTTCAAGTGAACCTAAAAATCAAATTCTCACATGTAAAATAAAAGCTTTGTTATTATAAAATGTCTGTGTTTGTTTTTCATGCATGGTTTGACCTGAACTCTGCATTATCTGAATTTATTAAATAATCTTAGATAACTAAGTTAAGCAGGGATTTAGATGGAGTTTTTGTCTGAGCAGTGAATTGAAACAGCTGTGAGTCTGCACTGGGCGTGTGCAAAAGACTGAGGTCCGACACTTGTATTTTATACATGAGAGCTGTCTTGGTTTAGATAACTGAAATAATTCTCAGGGCTTGACTTTTTAGCCTCCAGAAGTGGGAAGTGTGAAGTCACCCGTCACAGCCTAACACCATTTAATCCACCTGAATAATGATTCAATATCTCCAGTTTAGTTTTGTTTGGTGTTTTATAAAATATATATATATCGGATATTTAAAAAAAAAAACTTGGTATCTCATTCACTTGTGAAACAATTATCCAGATATCTTATGAAATCACAGTCCTGAAACTGGCTCCCACACTGTGCATGGTGCTGGCTACTAGCTAGCTAGCACATCATACTTGTGTCACAAGAAGTGTTTTGAATAAACAGCTAATGTCAAGCAATTTGTACTGAGTGAGGTATATCCATGGATAAATCATCTTACTGTGCTGACTGACCTCTAGTCCCTGTCGTAGCAGGAAGTGTCAACCTTTCTAGTCTTTCTAAGACTAGAAAGACTAGACCTTTTTGTCAGGTTCATTTCTAAACAATTTTATGTTGCTTTCATCTGAGGGTTTTTTTATCTAAGTAACAAGTCTCTGGAATTGACTTAGGAATCTAAGTATGGATAGCCCTATCTTAGGTGAGAAGGCAGACTCTTCCAAGGATCTTACTGTTTATATAACTTTGGAAGTTTAACTGAAAAAGTCTCAATATTACTTCTGAGTTTCAGCCACTGGCAGTCACTGGGTAAATTTCATTCAATCTACACCTCTACAGATGTCTCTTACTGGTCACTGCTGTGTAACATCTAGTCATACACAAAACAAAACTCATTTGATAATTTAATTTCTAATGATCCTTTATTTCCATTTCATTGTAAAGTATTCTTTTATCAGTGGGTGAATGTTTACATTCTCAC